GACCTTAGGACGGCACCTCCGGACCAACGTGCTGAAAACTCTTTTTTATGCTCGTTTCGGTTAAATCTCGTTTCCATTCTTCGGATTCTTCACGTATAGGTCCATCCCTAGTGGTGTGTGACCCTGTAGACCCATTCTAAGTGGTAGTGACTTTAGGAACCTTTTCCGAACCACAAGTCATGGTTAGCCTCTAGCAAGACGCCATGACCACCCACTTAGAATTGAGTTAGAGGTTATCTAACCAAGGCATTAACAGTTCGAATTTTGATCCTTTGTCTCACGATATCATATCTTGAACAAGGGCATGGTTTGAGCCACCCTTCAATTTTAACCGCTTTCTCGTCTTGGTAAATCGACTAATAAAATAGATGCAACTTCATCTATAGCGTGGCCACGCGTTTTCATAGTCCGACTTCCACGAGGGGGTCCAACGATATCTCTCCTGTTAAGGAGGTGACAAGTCCCATATTGCATGTCTACTATCTTCATATGATTCGTGAACGTATCTGATCAACGCCGTTATAATCATCCGGTTAAAGACGACGTTTGACGCAGTCAAGATACGCCACTCCTCATATCAGATACTCTAGATATCTCAGGTATGAGGATTCATAAACAAACCGCTGTATGAGATTCAAGTCATGACTCTGTCCATGTGACAATCTCATGCGGGTCATCCAGTCACTCGTTCACAACGAGTACCCATGATTGTGATCTACATCCAATGCATTGATCACACCTCATGCTAGTCTTGATTCAACATTGTTCCCACAATGATGACTGACTAATGCATTCATAAATCAATGAATCAATACAAAGTCAAATGTCATATCATGGATCATCCTAGAGCATTACAACCAACAATAATAAATTAAAAAGAAATAAAATTAATATTTGCTACGGAAATTTTCATCATATTCTATCGCAAATATTAAAATTTCAATCACGTATTAAAATTTCCATCATAATTAATATTTGTTGATGTGACGACAATAATCCCGTCGTATTCCATGGCAAATTTGCGATGGATTTTGCTACTGTTCATAGAGCCAATTTTTTTTACCATATTTCGTCGCGAAATCGTCGTATTCTAAATTGCGACGGAAAATTCCGTCGCAAGTTTCGTCGTTACGTGAAGGGTTTTTTTTGCAATAATGATGGTTTCATGTTTTTCCCTTTTGATTTGATTAAACTGCGCATTCATCATGTCTCTTCTGGTACGTGTCGCCGCATCATTCGCTGCAAACAACAACGGATCCGACGCCGACAAGCTTTTCTTTTGCAAGTTCGAGTTCTCGCAGTCCCAGCCATTCGGCGTCAACGCGCTTCCTCACATCCGCCTCGTGGGTCCTTCCACGGCTAATCTCCGGGATGAATCCCGTCAGATGGACCGAGGGAATTACTCTCGTGTTTATTGTCGTACTCGCACTTCTCGTCAAGCCCTCTTCGGCGATATACTGTGGCGAAGACGATTGCTATGATCTTCTTGGGTTTCATCTCCAATCCTATTTTCTTTCGATTTTAAATCAGTTTCTTCCCTTTTCTCGTATTGATTTTTCTGTGGATTCTGCGGTTTCAGCGTGACACAGAGTGCGAATTCTTCGGAGATCAAGAAAGCTTACTACAAGCTCTCTCTGAAACAGTAAGATTTGTCGGTTCCTGATCTTGTGGATTGAATCCCACGAGTTTAATTTGTTTTGAGACTGATGAGATTTGGTTTTGGTTGCTCATCTCCCTAATCTGCCTATCTATCGGGAAGTCACCCAGATAAGAATCCGGATCCGGAACCGATTCAAGACCTTGTCCATGTATGTACTCTGACTTAGGCCAAGAAGCCTTCTCGATCTATCTCTATAGATCTTGATGCCTAGAATGTAGGCGACTTCTCCTAAGTCTTTCATCGAAAAGACCGATCCTAGCCAAGATTTTACTCCTTGCAAGGTAGGAATGTCATTTCCGATGAGCAATATATCATCTACATAAAGCACAAGGAAGACCACTGCGCTCCCACTGACCTTCTTGTAAACGCATGGCTCATCTTCGTTTTGCAGGAAGCCAAACGTTTTGACTGCCTCGTCAAATCGAAGATTCCAGCTCCTCGAAGCCTGTTTCAGTCCATAAATGGATCTCTGAAGCTTGCACACCTTCCTCGGACTCTTAGGATCAACAAAACCCTCGGGTTTTGTCATGTACACATCCTCGAGCAAATTTCCGTTAAGGAATGCGGTCTTGACGTCCATCTGCCATATCTCGTAGTCATAATACGCAGCTATATATAGCTAGCAGAATCCGTATGGATTTAAGCATCACGACTGGTGAAAAGGTTTCATCATAGTCTATACCATGAATCTGCCGAAACCCTTTCGCGACGACTCGTGCCTTATAGGTATGCACGATGCCATCCATGTCGGTTTTCTTCTTGAAAACCCATTTGCATCCAATGGTATTAATACCATTGAACGAATCGACCAAAGTCCACACTTTTTTGTCGTACATGGATTGCATCTCAGACTCCATGGCCTGGTGCCATTTCTCGGAATCGGAACTCGCCATAGCCTCTGAATACGATGTAGGCTCCTCATGTTCTAACAACATGAGTTCGTCGTTTCCTGTCACAAGAAAACCATATCTTGTGGGCTCTTGGCGAATTCTACTAGATCTCCGAGGTTCACTAGTAGGTGTTGTCTCAACAACTTGTGATACAAGTTGAACTGTTTCGACCTGTTCACTCGGTTCTTCGACTATTTGTGGTTCTCGAACTTCTTCGAGATCTATTCTACTCCCACTGACTCTCTTGGAGACGAACTCTCTCTCCAAGAAAGATCCATTCCGAGCAACAAACACTTTGTTCTCGGATGGATTGTAGAACCAGTACCCTTTAGTTTCCTTAGGGTAACCCACAAATATGCATTTATCAGATTTGGCGGATAGCTTATCAGAAGGCAGACGTTTCACATAAACGTCGCATCCCCAAATCTTCATAAACGCTAACCTGGGACGCTTCACAGTCCATATCTCATATGGTGTCTTCAGAACTGATTTTGTTGGACAGTTGTTCAGTATAAGCGCAACCGTTTCCAGAGCGTAGCCCCAGAAGGATTTAGGAAGATCGACCTGACTCATCATAGACCGTACCATATCTAACAAGGTTCGGTTCCTCCTCTCGGACACGCCATTCCACTGTGGCGTTCCAGGTGGAGTCACCTGTGAGACAATCCCACAATCTGCCAGATAGTCAGTGAACTCTTGGCTCATATACTCGCCACCTCGATCAGATCGAAGCAACTTGATCGTCTTGCCAAGTTGGTTCTGTAACTCGTTTCTGAAAATCTTGAACAATTCAAGTGTTTCAGATTTATTTATCATCAAGTAGACATAACCGTACCTACTGAAATCATCAGTAAACGTAACAAAGTACAGATAACCTCCTCTAGCGGGTGAGCTCATAGGACCGCATACATCACTATGTATGAGTTCTAGCAACTCTGTAGCCCTTTCTCCTTTTCTAGTAAAAGGAGATTTTGTCATCTTGCCCATCAAACAAGAATCGCAAGATTCAATTGATTCATAATCAAAAGAATCAAGAAGTCCATCAGAATGAAGCTTCGCTATGCGTTTCTCGTTGATGTGACCAAGTCGACAATGCCAGAGATAGGTCGGGTTTAAGTCGTTCGGCTTAAACCGCTTGGTACTAACGTTATAGATTGAACTGTGTCTAGACGGTTTATCATCCAAAATATAAAGGCCATTAAACAGGTAACCATTACCATAAAATAAAGCGCCACTATAAATAGATAAAGTTTTGTTCTCAATAACAAAACGAAAACCATCAGAATCCAAACATGAAATCGAAATAATATTCCTGCTAATTGCAGGTACAAAATAACAATCATGTAACTCCAACACAAGGCCTGAAGGTAAAGTCAGATCGTAAGTCCCGACGGTCAATACAGCAACTTTTGCTCCATTCCCGACACGGAGATCTACTTCTCCCTTTGCCAATTGTCTACTTCCTCGAAGTCCTTGCACACTTCCACAAATGTGTGAGGCACATCCGGTATCTAATACCCAAGATGTAGAAGTAAACAAGTGAGCTTCTATAACGAAGATACCTGAAGATGAAGCTTCTGCAAGCTTCTTCTTCTTTTGATCTTCCAGGTAGAGTTTGCAGTTGGGTTTGGGCTTAGGCTTAGTGACAACACTTGTCACTTTCCTCTTGCCCTTACCTTTGGAACGCTTCCTTTTGCTGGAACTCTTTCCAACAACTACCATATCATTCTTCCCTTGGCTCTCAGCCTTCTCTTGGAATGACACATTCAACTGATCAACCATCAACGAATTGTCCATGTCATCTAATTGCTCACGCAATTCCGTAGACATCTTTCCAAGCATCAAGCTGGACACGTCTAGACCATCATCCATATGCTTCCCATAAGCATCAATGATCGATCTAGAAGCCTTGGTCAGAGGCTTATCCTTCATAAGAATAGATTGCATGGTAAGTTTCCCAGATCTCGGTCCGCCAGACCAGAAGCTTGGTCCGGCGGACCAAGCTTAGTCTGAGCCTTCGGACCGTCTGACCTGGAGGTTTGGTCCGGCTGACCAACTTTTTTGTCAGCTCCGGACCAAACCTCTTGGTTCCTTTCCGGTTCGTCGTTCCAGCGTCCTTGGTCCTCCTGATTCCAGCGTCTGGTCCGAGGCTGACCAACTCTTGGTCAGCCGGACCAGACCTAGACAGATGACCTTCTGACTGAGCTTCCAGACCACCTAGACTGACCAATCTTGGTCCAGGGCTGACCAAACTTGGTAGCATTGCATATAAGCACACAATGATTCACTCGCAGTGTTTATTTCTCACGTCTCACCACGCGTATTCATTCAGTTTGTTCATTTTTATCTTCTCTTTCCTCTTAGATTTGGTCTGGTCCAGACCTGTATTTAGTCTGGCGGACCGGATCCGACCCGTCCCCATGAAATCGGTTGATCAGACCATTTTTTGGTCCAAAACAAGCCTGATCCGTCGGACTAGTTTCTGGTCTGGGTCGGACCAGGCTTCCTCAGCCTCTTCCCCTTGGTCCGGCGGACTAAAAATATTTTCCCAGACTTGGTCCGGAGCTGACCAGTTCCTGGTCTGGCGGACCGGAACTAGGCAGTTCGTCCGTTCGCATTTTCAGATTTTTGGTCCGACTTCGATTGCTCATAACTCACTCGTTTCTTAACCAAATCGCGCACCGTTTGTTTCTAAATGTTCATTGGGATGTACTTTTTCATGTCCAAGCAATAGATTATTTAAATCTCATGTATACACGATGATGTAACGCCTGTACCTCAAAAAATCGCGATTCTGCAAATTTCAGTTTTTCCACAGTTTTCGTTTGTTCATATCTCCTTCGTTTCTCAGCCAAATTGAGCGTCGTTTTTTTCTAAATTCTCATTGTCCTCTTTCAAAATCAATCAACGAATCATCGAGATAATACAATTACATCGATGAAAACGAGTTTACACAGATGCAACTCAAGCCACTCACCTGTTCTTGGATCAGATTCATTTTGAATCTGATTTGGTCGAGTTTGGTTGATGTGTCTGTGTTCCTCCGCCTTGAGATCTCCTCCTAGACACTCAAGGGTTAATCAATGTCTTCCCGAGCTCCCTCTCCCTCCTCCTCTCTTCTTTCTCTCCCTCTCTCTCGTTTTCCTCTCTTTTCTTTCTCTGCCCATTTTCAGTCCGAAAATGGTTGATTTGATCTGTTTGAGAGGGTCTTTAGGGTAGATGAGAGAGTTTTGGGGTGATTGGACGAGTGTAGGAGATAGTGGGGTCTCCTTTTGTCGGCTTGGTGCAGATTAGGTGTGTTGTGGCCGCCCATGTGTGAGAAAATCACGCACCATAAGTCTGCCGACAGTTTCTGTTACTTGGTCCGGGGCTGACCAGATTTTGGTCCGGCTGACCAGGTCCGGACTACACTCATTTTCCTCTTGGTTCGTCCGTCCTGTCCAAGTCCGGCTGACTGTGTTGGTCTGGAGCTGACCAAGACTTGGTCCGGCTGACCAACTCACTTTTTTCCATTTTTATTTCTTTTCTTGTTCCGTTTCTTCCTGTTTGATCCGACTGAGTGTCCTAGTCCGGCCAACCGGATCCGGCCCATCCCCACGAAATCGGTTGATCGGACCATTTTTTGGTCCAAAACAGGCCTGGTCCGCCGTACTAGTTTCTAATCCGGGTCGGACCAGGCTTCCTCAGCCTCTTCTCCTTGGTCTGGCAGACTAAAATTATTTTCCCTGACTTGGTCCGGAGCTGACCAGTTCCTGGTCCGGCGGACCGGACTAGGCAGTTCGTCCATTCGCGTTTTCAGGTATTTGGCCCAACTTCGATTGCTCATAACTCACTTGTTTCTTAACCAAATCATGCTCCGTTTGTTTCTAAATGTTTATTGGGACGTCCTTTTTCATATCCAAGGAATAGATTATTTAAATCTCATGTATACACGATGAAAAACGATTCTTAACGCCTGTACCTCGAAAAATCGCGATTCTGCAAATTTCAGTTTTTTCACAGTTTTCGTATGTTCATATCTCCTTCGTTTCTCAGCCAAATTGAGCGCCGTTTGTTTCTAAATTCTCATTAAAATGTCCTCTTTCAAAATCAATCAACAAATCATCGAGATAACACAATCACATCGATGAAAACGAGTTTACACAGACGCAACTCAAGCCACTCACCTGTTCTTGGATCAGATTCATTTTGAATCTGATTTGGTCGAGCTTGGTTGATGTTTATGTGTTCCTCCGCCTTGAG